TGCCCAGCCGAGTTGAATCCGTCGATTGACCTCTCGGTCGAAGTTGGACTTACCTAGTCGGACTATTTGTCCCAGGTAAACATACTCGTCAACAACTTCGAGCTTAGTGCTCCCAACAACTACCGGCATAGGTGTGACATGGACATTAAACATGATCTTTGTTTTGTCCATGTTCATCTTAAGACCTATCCGTTGGGAAACACTATTGAGGTCATTGAGCATAGTGCTTAGGTCCTCCAGCGATTCTGCCATAAGGACTATATCGTCGGCAAATCGAAGGTGAGTGATGTACTCGCCATTGATGTTGATACCGTATCCTTTCCAGTCCAGCAGCTTGAAAACGTCTTCCAATGCAGCGGTGAAGAGTTTCGGGGATATGACGTCACCCTGTCTTACACCTCTCTGCAATTGGATAGGTTTCGTATTCTGGTTCTGTACTCGGATAGCCATCGTAGCCCTACTGTACAAGCACTTCAACACTTCGATATACCGACAGTCAACTTGGCACCGCTGAAGGGACTGCAGCACCGCCCAAATTTCGACGGAATCAAAGGCTTTCTCATAGTCCACATACGCCAGACATAGTGGCAAATTGTACTCTTCGGACTTCTGTACAACTTGCCGAAGGGTATGTATGTGGTCTATGGTGCTAAAGCCCTTTCGGAAACCGGCTTGTTCGGGAGGCTGGAAGTCGTCAAGTCTGCGCGCGAGACGATTCGTAATGACTCTCTAAAACTGTACACATGGTCATTATTCGTAAGAAGGGAAAGATGACTACACACATCCAAAGTCATACCGACCTATAGGTATCCTGTCAGTCCTCGGAAAAATAGTCGAAAAGTTGATGGTGGGGTGACTCCAGTTGCACGTCCTCCCAACTCTCAATAATAAAACAATATGAGTTTATGCCCCAACGTGGTACTGAAGACGCCTTCTATGATCTATTGGAAAACATCAAAAACGAAGTGAGGTACAAAAAGATCGTCCTCATTATCTCACTATATATAGAGGAAGCCATCGACAACGCATGGTGGCCAGCAGTAAAATTGCAACTAGCCAAGAAACAATGTCCCAAAAACCTCTACGATATGATTGGTTGCCAGAGCAACCAGTGAGAAGGAAACTACAAAGGTCTGTGTTCAAGGATCTATTGGTGGACTAACCTTTTGGAATGTTATCCTAGACTCATTGCTGCACCAAATTACACACGTAGGAGTATATTGTCAGGCATTTGAAGTAAAGTTTGCAGCGCACAAAACAAATACTATGCTCATAACGAAAAAAGTTAAATTTGACTCCCCCCCCTCCCCCCCTACCCAAACCTGCACATGTCGGGCAGCCGAGTGAGCCTCGTAGAGGAAACTAAAGCGGCTGACATATACGAAGAGATTGCATGAGCGGCCAAGGTGACCTGTGGGTCTCAATCGTGAGATTATAAGGACAATATACGTTGCAGTTGTCGAACCCATAGTTATATACGCTTCGAGAGCGTGGTCCTCAGCAACAGAACTTCAGATGATTAAAGACCAACTTAACACTTTGCACTTTGCAAAAGGGCTTCGCGCAAAAGATCTGTAAAGCGTACCGCACGGTATCGCTTACGTCCGCGCTCGCCATCTCGGGTCTGCTTCCGTTAGACCTGAGAATACAAGGAGCATTCAGCCTGTACAAGATCAAGAAACAAGGTACACTGTTCTACTTACCACCAGGAAGAGAAATTGAAAACCGTGTAAATCACTTGGATCAACCTCATCTCTCTAAACTCGTCAAATTGGAATATAAACTACTGGAAACAATGGAAAAAACAAACCTCCACCAACAAACCGGACCTCACATATACACTGATGGAAGCAATATAGAAGGGAGGGTCAGTAAAGCTTTAACATGGTGGGAAGATGGTAGGGAAACCAGTAGTTTCACCTTTAGATTGGATCAATCCTGCACAGTTTTCCAATAAAAGCTCTAAGCCTTGCTCAGGGCGATCAAACTAGCTGAATCGAGTACAAAACCTGTCGTCAACATCATGAGCTTGAGTCGTCTTTGCTCGATCTGCTGGCGAACCCTATAGCAAGCCACCCCTATCAAAGGCCATCCAAGAAAGCATAGGAAAGATGAGAATGACACTTCCGGAAATGAGAGAGGGACGAATGAACCAGGATGAGTCATCCCGCCAAAACTTCTACCGGCGATCGGGACAAATGACAACAAAACATCTACGGTCATAAGAGGTGAAATGGATCCTCACACATGGCGGCTTATAGCGAGTCTTCGGGCTTCGTAGCCTTGGATGAGGAGGAGACAGAACGACAGGGGAGAGTAGTATTCAAACCCCCCCCCCCCCCAACGACTCTGTTGTTGTTACCGCCCATTGCACCAGGATGATGCTAGAAGACAGGATCCTGAACATGTCGGAGGCCATCTCGCGAACCTGTGGAATGCGATATTCTTAGGAAAGCTGGACAGTGCCGACAATAAATTGGGTGTTAATGGAGTCCCGGGATGTGGGAAAACAACTTGGGTATAACCAATTCGATACGGAAAGTGATTTAATTGTCACAATAACAACAGAAGCAGCTAAAGACCTCCGAGGAAAGTTATCCAATCGCATAGGCACCGATGAAAAAACAAAAGTGTGCACTTGACCTCAGTTTTAGTAAATGGTACGAGACAGAAGATTCGCTCGACCTCTAGCCGACGAAGCTCACATTTAATATTTCGGGGCCATAGTTATGGCAATGCGATTGAGTGGAGCGAAAAAAATATTGTTCATCGGTGACATCAATCAAACAAATCAAACCTCTTTGTGATGCAATATACACGCCAAAGCCTCGTGACCACAATCAGCCAAGAACTCCTGTGTACGCACCGGAATCTAATGGATGTGGCATATGCCCTCAGTGAAATCTACAGTGGCATTTTTTTTATAGGTTAGGGTGACAAACGAGTACACAGTCCACCTGATGGTAAGTGGTTACTGTGACTCATAGACATCTACATCTATCCTCAATAAAGACTCAAGATGCAGATGCGTTGTCACCCGTGAGGACTAAGATCGAATGCCTCTTTGCCAGTAAAAAGGGTCTCCGGTTCTCTACACTCACCATACGAAACACAGCAGCGTCAAGTTGCTATTTTACATTGGTTTTCTGTGAGAGCGTGGTCCTTCCCCGGTCGAGCCGACCCCTTCGCGCTACAACTATACCACTAATATAGCTCCAGCATGGCTCTACCACGTAAAAATATATTTATCCAGATCTCAGATGCACTCACTGAAAAGGAAGAGATACACGAGAGTCGTCATACCAGGTATCCTGCCCAACACCTTATATATTGTATATACACAAGCAGAAAAGAAGTCCCTTACCAGCCTGGGATATGGTTTGGGTCCTGGGTCGCTAACTTTAACCATGCATGAGTTCCAAGGCCTCACATACGGGAGAGTGGTTATAATGAGGACAACGACGGAGAAGCCCAAATTTTATGACAGCGTCCAAAAGGCAGTAGTGGCAGTGTCCAGGCACACAGAAAGCTGTGTTTATGACACGGACGATTGCGACGATGCAACTGGAAGGCTGGTTGAGAGCGCCATGGATGCCACAACAAAAAGGATCAAATAATATAACCTAAAAATGGCAATTAGAAATAGAGTAGAGCAGCTGTCTTAGAGGCCTGATAACAGAGATCTAACACAGTTGAAGACGGAGCACTCTAGACGATAAAAAAGAAATATATTATATATATAATGTAATTAATAATTTTATTTGGTAGAGCCACGCTGCAGCTATATTACGAGTATTGTTGTAGCAGGAATGGGTTGGCTCAACCGGGGTGGGACCACGCTCTCACAGAATACCAGCGTAAAATAGCAGCTTAATGCTGCTGTGTTTTCTATAGTGATACGGAGATCCTTTTAAATGGAAACGGGGCACTCCATCTTAGTCCTCAGGGGTGACAACGCATCTGCATTTTGATTCTTAATCGAGGATAAATATGTCTATGGGCCATAGCATCCACTTACTATCAGGTGAAACCATAAATCATCATCTGGGGCCTTCATAGGAAGGTATGAAGGCCCCAGATGACGATGCCCGTTAGAGTCATGCGTGTGTACCGCATTTCTTATATAATAAGGGAGTCAAAGCAGCACACTGTCTCTCTGATGTTAAGATACAACTGAAACAGTGTACGCGAGCTTACCTCACCTACTTTTTGGGTTCTTACCTAAAAGGTAGGTTGTATAATTGCATCATTGAAGTATTATCCGCCGTGCGTACTACATATCACTTCAATGTGACCTATAATAGACTTAGTCAAGTAATCATCTTTTAGTTAGTTATTGTAATATTTTAAAATTATGTCTTAACCTTACTTATTCTAAGCGAACAAGTGAAATCTTGAATCATCATCAACATCATGAAAAATCTTCAAAACCTAGTTGATAGCAATTATTTGCGTCGCCGAAGGCCGCGGGTTCGAATCCCGAACGGAGCAAGTGTTTGTACGGCTTGCAAATAATTGTTCGAGGTTTGGATGGTTGTTCTTGTAAATGTATGTATGTAAACCGCATCCACGATACAGGAGAAAATCCTAGTGTATTTTTTAAATTGAAATTGTAGTGGCCCTTCTCTTGTCGCTTCAGCCTCATATCCACCACTATATTTGACCATAATGACATTTTTTGCCAATTTCAACCAAGACAACAACTTGTGGATCCCGAACATTACTAAAGGTTATTGAATTCGTCTTTGCAGAACATGTAAAATACTTGCCCTGACTTGCGTATCCCCGATGCAACACTCATGCGATACGATTGAGAGAAAACGTAGTTATAGTGGAATAATATTCTATGAGCTTAAATAAGTTATATCACAATATTTTAAAAAGTTTTTTTATATATCATAAATCACATGTGTAATCGGTATTTGTAATCACCCTGCAAAAGGATAACATCATACATAGCTTAAAGTAAAAAACTTTTATTTTGAATAAGAGTATTTTTTATAAAAATTTATTATTTAACACATAATAATATGTAGACCGAAATTGAGAAACAATGTATTTTCCCTGGATTAAATTACAGTGAAATGATAAATTCAATTTTTGGAAGTAAAAAACGTTTAAATTTATGTCAAGATGTAATAATACACAGTATAGCTGAAGAATTTTTATTTCGTTGAATTTAATGGCAAACTTAATTGGTCCACCTTTATTGCTTCTAACTAGAGACGCTAGTATGCGCCGTGCAGAGATAGGAATACGAGGGTTAAGGGTGGAAGGCGAGAGAGGAAAGGGTCGATGGAATGGGAGGGAGAGGGAGAAACGAGCGAGGCGCAAGCGGCGGTGGACCAGCGAAGTTGCCGCGGCGACCGCGCGCGCCTCCATGCTCTTCTTATACAAACTAACTATATACAAAATTAGTACCCGTGTAGACATAATCAACATATTGTGAAACTATGTACAGAAAACAAGTCACAAGGTTCGCGTTTATTGCACGAGGCGGGCCGGCGTCACTGTGCGTCAGTGGCGGTGGCGGCGGCGTCGGCCGGGGCGGCGGGGGTGGTGGCGGGGGCGGCGGGGGAGCCCGCGGTCATCCGCGTGAGCGCCTTGTATAGTGGGGAGTTGACGAAGCGCGGGTACGAGTCGCGGTGCATCAGAGTGTAGATCTGCAGCTGTGCCTCGTCAAACGTGTGCGGCGTCGGCTCCACCATGTTCCGGTTCACCGTCTCGCGAACCCGAGAGTCCAGGGACACCTGATGAACAAACAGACGCGGTTATTCCTTGCCCACTGCTTTCGTTTTAATTTTACTGCACAAAGAATTGCCATTGCAAATTATACTTTAATAATGATTTTTTTCTTTTATTAAAAAAACGTTACCTCCATACTAGGATGTTCTCCCGTATCGTGGGGGCAGTTTACATACATAAATTTCACAAAGACAAACATCCAGACTCGGAACAATTATTTGTAGGCCATACAAATACTTGTTCCTTGCGGGATTCGAACCCGTGGCCCTCAACGCCGCAACTCATTGCTAAGCCACTGCGCCACGGAGCCGTCAAAGCCGTCATGATTGAAGAGTGTATGTTTTTATATACCAGTAACGGTATTAACATTAATATTCCTTTTAACCACTTCTGGTAAGCTTGAAAACGCTTGAGTTAAGCACTCCTACGTTTACGACAGTAGTCGGATGGCGGATTTGATCCCACGACCTTTGAGTTCGCGGTCCGCACCCTGCCATATTAGGCTACTGTCACTTATGTTTATAAAAACAAAAATAATTATTATTTCTATATCATAATTTATTAATGCAATATGTGAAAACTTTTTTAAGAAAAACTATTGAGAAATTAAACATTCTTTGCATGGTCCTTGTTCACCGGCATAGCAACTTCCAATGGAAGTCTCTCTGCTGTGATGTCTAACTTGCATAGGCATCAATAATAAACTAAAAATAATACAATAATATTCTACTAATATTGGTACTAATTACCTTGTAGTGGCGGTGTCAGAATATCCACTACCACATATCATCCCGTGGAGGTTGTAAGAGGTGACTGAATTAAACACATCTGGAGATGTGCAGAAACGGCTTCCTAATAACGAATTGTGTCAACTATGGCAAATTGCCCCCTGTGAAGCAATATTTGGGGGAAGCCTTTTAAACAGTGGTAGAGCCACGCGGCAGCTTTTGCTGTCGCATGGATGGGCCGGCTCGAACAGGGGTGGTACCACGACTTCACAGAAAACCAGCGTGACGTAGAGGTTTACCTCTGCGTTTCGCTTGGTGAGTGCAGGTGGTCGGAGGACCTTTTTACTGGAAATGAGGCATTCCATCTTAGTCCTCACGGGTAACAACGCATCTACATTTTGATTTGTAATAGAGAATAGATGTAGATGTCTATGGGCCGCAGCAACCACTTACCATCAGGTGGACTGTGTGCTCGTTTGTCACCCTTATCCAATAAAAAAGGGCCTATGTTCAGCAGTGGACTTTAATAGGCTGTAACTGTAACGACAGGTACGAGTTCTGTTCGAATAATGAATACAGCCGGCTTTTCAGGAAAATTAAAAAAGATAAATACTACCGTTTCAAGTATACATATTCACACAATTAGTGACATCATTGTGATTTATAAGTGGAGAGAAAACCGTAAAAGCAATTTGTTGCCTTAAATCTTGTTTCGTCTTGAGAAAAAAATTAAAGAAATTTTATATTTATTCTACACAAAATCATTAATTCGCAACGGAGACTAGTCATCTACACTTTCTAACCCGTAGCGTTTTTCATACTTAGGCTTACCCCCTTCGATGACCAACAAAACTCTATCCCTATGCATAAATCTACATACTACTCGGATTCCTTTAAGGTACGAGTATCATCAATTACTTATAAGAATTATTCTTATAATAATCACAGTGGGAAATTATGCGTGATTTAAATTATTATCTTTATATATAAAAATTACGTGTCACGTTGTTTGTCCGCGATGAACTCTTAAACTACTGAACTGATTTCAATGAAATTTTGCACACTATGTGCAGTTTGGTCCAACTTGAGAGATAGGTTAGTTTTTATCCCGATAAGTGACCCTCAATTTTTTATTGCTATATTCAGGAGTTGTTTTTGGGAAAGCTAATCGTCGTTCGGAAAGGGCAGAACAACGCCTGCCTGGTCAGGTAGTATAATATTAAATTCTGACTTAATTTATTGATCTCTCAATTTTTGTATTCAAATTAATTCATTTTTGTTAGTATGTATATCTTCTTGGTGTTAAATAAATAAATACAACCGTCTTTAAACCCTTTTCATAATTGCTTCCAGCTAAAAAAAGGCTAAAAAGACTATTCGCGGACTTCCAAAAGAGGCTTTCACTGAAAAAATTGCTTAGACCTTAAGGGAGCTCGGTTACCAACCAGAATATGTCTGTACACGCTGCACAGAAACCAACCAATTCTGAAGCCTAGATGCCACGCCTAAAACGCCGGCATCAATATAATTACATATTCCGTACCAGTTACTCGACTTCACAGAGTCAGTAATTAATTCTTGGGCGATGTATACGCTTTAAAACTATGTATATAAGTAATCTACACGGTACACCATGGTACGGAAATAAAACTAAATGTATTAAATTTACAACAACGAATGTTAAAAATCTGAATACCAATGTGTTTTTAAGTGGGGAAGAACTGAGCCCTGTTGAATCCACTGTTTTTCTTGGCATCACTCTCGACGCAAAGCTTTAGTGGGGCCCCCATATAATTAAAAAAGTCCCGCTGGGTTTCTTGCTGGTTCTTCCCAGGACAGAGGTTTTTTTTTCGAACCAGTGGTAAAGTAAAAAATGACTTTCAATAAGAATTACACATGTGATCTATGTTGAATAAAAAAATATTTTATTCTATCTATTCTATTCTATTCTATTCTATTCTAACGGTGCCATTGCCATAACGGCATCAGCAACCTTTCTCAGTATTTTGATTGATTCCGAACCCACATGGCAGAATCACGTTGAAACTGTATGCCAGAGGATTAACAGGTTTGTGTTCGCTTTGTATCGTCTGTCAATTTGATTCAACCAACAGACAAGTGGGATGTGCTTGTTATTTTTATGTTATCAGAAAAATTGGACAGTGTTACATTATTGAAATGGGAAGAACACCGAAATAATTCAGAAGGTTATGTGCAAAATCTGAATGAATTTTCAAAGTTTTTAATAAATTGTGCGGAAGTTTTTGAGGCTTTGAATCGTAATAACAACAGACCTGACTACTGTCATTCAGAAAAAAATTTCACGTAAGTTTCGAAAAACTATCAGGCACAAAATAGTCAAAATAGTGGCCATAGCAATTCATTCACGTAATTATTCACTAGTACAAGTAAAGCAGTTGTTAAATTCAACACGTCATTTTTGTGCGTTATTTGTAATGAAAACCATAGAATTATGACTGTGCTTTATTTAAATCTAAAGGATTCGATGAGACATTAGGCTAAATAAAAAAAATATAAATTATGTATGAATTGTTTGCGGCAAGGTCACCCTGTGCGTTAGTATCGCATGGGGCCATGTCGTGTGTGCAAAAAAAACGGCACAAGAGCATGTTACATACTCCAAAATCATTCAATAATAATAGGCCAATAGCAGTCAAAGAAAATGAGTAATTAGTTAATTTTTCTAATTACATTTCAGAGCAAGTAATTCTCTCCACGGCAATAATCAAAGTCTCGAATCCATTAACTAGTCAAAAGGTTAAAGTTTTAGCACGATTAGATTGCGGTAGTCAATTTTCATTTATAAGTAAGTTCTTAAATGACAAATTGTCTCCAAATACTTGCCAGATTATCCCACTAAACTGACTGTTTCATACCCGTCTCATCGATACCGATATTCTGTGACATACCCAGGTATCGGTATGTTTGATCCTCGGAAAGGGCCCTTATGTTGATGGGCATATATAAGTATATGCTCTCAAAATTAACAACCCTACCCCTCTCAACATGGCGGACGGCACACTTATCCGTCCCCAGCTGCATTCTAATAGAATTACCAAAAATCACAAGTGATCTTAATCACAAGTGATTTTTGGTAATTCTATTAGAATGGAGAGCAATTCCATAAGATGGGAGCGACTGGAGGCGAATTCTTACTCTCCAGGCTGGGATGACTCTACTTTGTCTAGTAGCACGTCCAGTCATCAGGAGTTTGGCGCCAATAATACGGCATACTGTCAGTGCGGTGCCAAAAAGTATTAAGTCCGTCTCGCAAAAGTCCCGGCTGGCTTCCAAATAGGTCACTCGCATTGGGTTTAGAGCCTTCACGACAGCCCGACTCCGTTTGTTTAGGGTTATGCGGGGAAGTCGCGGTTGATTTTCGAGAAGCGTACTGCGCGATTCCTCAATCGCCTCTTCCAATGTACTCCTCATTTGTTCTAGTTCTAGTTCCTGGGCGACTTTTCCATCATCGTCTGAATTAACCACAACTGCTCTGCAATTTGTGACGCCGCATCCTTAGCGGTAGTATTTTCATCCGATGAGGGCACAGCCTCACGTCGTAGCCGTTCGAGTTCGGTGCCATCCACACCAAATAGAAAAAATTCAACTCCGATGCGGCAGTCCAAACCGCCTTCAAAGAGTTTATTGATTCTCACCCCCATGGTTTTTTTATTAAAGGGATCAATGAACTACCTATGAGATAGCAAAAGTGCATAGATAACATCGGGGCATATTTTGATTAATTAAATATATTTTACAAAAAAAAATTAATTTTTTTATTCCTCCCGTACAAAATGCCAATTTCATATGCAAGGACCTAATAATATTCAGGAATTTGTGGATGATAATAATCTGTAGCAGTGAGCTCACCGCCGCTATTTCTTATTTGTTTTGTATTGTTAATTATTGTGTAACTTTAATGATTGTAAACTATTTTTTTTTTTCAAAAAAGTTCCGCTGGGTTTCTTGCTGGTTCTTCCCAGGGCAGATATTTTCTGAACCAATGGTAAATTAAACATTAGTGACTTGCATTAAGTATTATTTATAATTTATATTGAATAAAAAAGTTCCTATTTCTATTTCGTAAAAGGCATTCAATCGGTTATCGTATTTGTCCCTTGCGGTGATTTAGCTAATGAACTCTCACCACCATTTAGTTAATTTTACATGCTGATGAACAGTGTTGCTGTTGGTTAGTACACTTAATCTATTTTGGTGTTCTTACGTAATGACGTCCATTACGTTACACGTGCGTG